AATAAAGAATTGCTCTTTTCATAGTACAAAATATTTATAATTATAAAAATGTCAATGTGTAAAAATTATGACATTTACTAGTGCTGGGCGGTATACCAGTTCATACCGAATACCGGTGTTTATTTTTGTTATGATATGAATTTTTTAAATACCGTAATACGTATGTCGCTTAAACAACGTTTGGAACGCGACACTGTTTGAAAGGGGTCCCTTTTCACTGTTGCACTGTGGTGACATTTACTTTAAATCCTTACAGATTTCAGTACACTTATTGACAAGTTAATCTCTATACTGGGTTTTTAGTTAGTAAGACAAAGGGTTTTGCACTGAAATACCACATGCTAGTTTTGTCTAACAGTTAAAAGAGACCAAAAAAAGGAAAAAACAACAACTTTGTATTCTCCCTAAAACTGATTTGTTTTGTTTTGTGATGAGTGGATTTCAGAGGCCGTTGAGGAATTTACCAGAAGAAAATGGTAAATAAAAAAAATATATAAAAAAATTGTTTTGTTTTGTATGGTTTGATTTGTGTTTTTGTTTTGTTTTTTGTTTTGCTTTGCTTTGCTTTATTTTGTTTTGAGAGGATTTCAGAGGCCACTGAGGGATTTACCAGAAGAAAATGGTAAAGAAATCCCATCAGAAAACAAAATTTTGTTTTGTTTTGTATGGGTTTGGTTTGATTTGGTGTTTTGTTTTGTGTTTTTTGTTTTGTCTTGCTTTGTTTTGCTTTGCTTTGCTTTGAGAGAATTTCAGAGGCCATTGAGGGATTTACTAGAAGAAAATGGTAAAGAAATCTCATCAGAAATCCCATCTAAAACGTCGCAACATATTGTGTTGTGGTGTGAAACGCCAAGTTGGAATAGCTCAGCCTTGTGTCAGAGCTGAGATGGGAAAGTATGTCAGTGGATATTATACTCAAAGGAAATAACCTACAGTGACTTTCATTGTGGCCTGTTGAAATATATGATCCAACATTAACAATAATTTGGCCCTCTTGGACATTCGATTACGTCTACAGTGTAAACATGGTTCTTTTCCACCACTATGTAATAGATCTTTGCAGCTAATGTGTCCTGGGCCGCACCTCCGTGCCAGTGCCATAGGAGACAGAGAGCTCTTGGCACAGAGAGAGAAAACAAAACACACTCCGATTACGACAATACTATGTAGCTTGACCTTCTTTTATGTGCAATAAAAGGGTGAAATTAATGTCAGTCTTATCAGATCATCTGCTAGTCTGGTGTGTTACCATCACTTGCATCAGCAAATGCACAAAAAGTGGGCGTCATTATAATATGAGATCCTACACAGTGTGAGATTCTAATACATGCTTTCCGGTTATCACATGTGTAGGCTTGTATCCCCAGGCTAGCAACAATAAAATTGATCTTGTGTTGGTTTTGTCTATGGTCTGACCGAGCCTGTGATATTCCTAAGGATGATATTGAGCTCTCACGTTCCTAAGAGAACACTAAAGATGCACACACTAAAGATGACAGACATTTTCAATTAGGCCATAATTAAGGTTTGACTAGATATAGTCCTGCACTGACATACTATGTGACAAAGTCAGTTCTTCTTTCTGATTTGTAAAGAAGAGAAGGAGGTACTTGTGCTTGTTTGGATAGAAGGGTACCTTAGTAGTTAAGAGTAGGTCTGTAAAGATAGATCAGTCTGACATGTGACGCCACTGCAAACACAAATGTCTCCTATAGACCATAAATACGTCTCCAGCATGCACTTGGAATCAGGTGACTATTTCAACCCACCTTTGAGGAAGCGATTTACAAGCATTGAAGGTTATTTTTTTTAATTTTAATTTAATTTAATTTAATTTTATTTTATTTTATTTGAAGACATTTAATAATAAATTTAACATTTAACAATAAGACATTTAACTAATATTTAAGTGTTTTATTTACAGTGAAAGTCAGTGAGGTCCAAAACAACACTGAACACTTTCAACAACAAAAAAAGTTTTAAAAATTGTGTTTCACAGACAAGAAAATGTCATACAGAATGGCATGTGGTGAATAAATGACAGAATTTTCATTTTTGAGTGAACCATCCCTTAAAGGGAGTTTTTTTTTTTTTGGGACGCAGTTGAAGTTTATGGTTTATGATACTTCTTTCCCAAATTCTGGAGCATTCAGATATCTCAGAATAATAATGTTTCCTGATGGCAACACCATATTAAAACTGACTGCTCATCCAGGAAACTCATGAACTTCATGTGACCTCTTCACGTTATAATATTACATTTTGAATCATTATATTAGCGACAACATGACAAATCAGTACCAGATAAATCATGTCACTTCAGCTTAACATGGTTCATTTGTCATGCGTCCTCACAAAGCAATGTCAAATATCTTTTACATACTTACAAATTGCCAAACACCTCTTCCTCCTATGCTTTATTTCCTTAAAATAAAGATGTGCTAGAAGGTTGGACACACGACAAAGAGAGTTTAAATGAAGACCAGCTAAATTAAAGTTAAACAAACATTTTAAAGTGCCAGCTCAGGGTAATTTAGTAATAATCTGCACAAGAACAATGACTTCTCTGTAAAATCAAATGCAAACAGTAAGCACAGAATTTGCCAAGCCCTGCAATGAATCAATAGTGCATGAGTGTTTGACGGTTTCCTCAGGGAGAGGTTCGATTAAAGGAAACAAGGCATTCTTTTGGCAGGTATAAAGGTAAGCGAAGTACTTGCAATAGCATGGCTAATTTTTGTGCCAGATTTCTGTAAGTTGAGCAACCACTGCAATGCAAACTTTTGTTTTGATACTCTACTTCCTGTGACACAGATGACTGTCTCAGTTTCAAGATAATTTTAAGCATGCAAACAACATGCAGCCTATTGAGTGAATAAACAGGAAATAAATTACTTGATTACTTTAGTCCAGGTTTGTTATTCTGGTTTATTAAAGTTATTTTGACAGCATGACAAAACTCTCAGGGTTTTTCTCCTTACTAGACATTTCACATGTGAACACTTTTATTAATACAGAATGATTATAACTTGTGTATTTGAAACAAATCTTGTTTATCAGGTTTTGTCTATTCAAAAATACAGTTTGTTTCTTAATGGTCTGAAGTGTCAGTTAGCTACCTGTCTTGTGGAGTAGTTAACTATTAGATTGTATGAAACTGATTTTGGCACACCCTCGGATGACTAAGTGCAGTTTATGCAAGACTAATTCAGAGGATTGGCATTGGGTGAAATCCTGATTTACAACTGAATGTTATGGTCAGATTATTGTAGCTTCCAGTGATGTGTCACGTTTCATCAGTGGTCACACACCCTCTTCATTCAAAACCTGCTGTGTGTTTCCACAAACTGTCATTTCGGTTATAGAAATAAATATGATGTTGTGTAATGGGCTTTTTGCATCATAAATTGACCAAAAATGCCACCGAAAGTAACAAAAAGGCCCCATATTTCAAATGCGTGGACAAAAATGTCCCTGTATTTGACATAAATTGACTTACACAGGGGGAAAAAAAGCTCTTATAAAGGTAAAAGTTGTTATTGTATGTATTTTCTAAATATTATATTAATTATTGTTATATTATTGTTTTTATTGTCCCTTAATAGGAAAGTTTAATTACAGACACTAGTCATAAATTAGGTCACAAACAGGAGAAATTAGCTTGTAGAATCTGAAGTTTGTTGCTATATATTATTTCCCTTTTTTTGTTTGCTGTTTGTTACTTGACTGACTACAGAATGTAGTCCACAGTTAACTCTAAATTATTCTGTATTGCCCCCATGTGGTAAAGTTCTGTACTGCAGTGTTTTTGACCAGCGTGCATGCGTGTAAACTATTGTGTTACTTATTTCATGTAGCACGATCACACAAAGGTTTTACATTTATTATTTTGTATATGTAATAACACAGCAAAGCCACATTTCTACTAACTGCCAATTCTTTCAGGATATTAATGCACGTCCACTCCATTATGATAAACCTGACCACATCTAGCCCACATCTAACCTGCCCCTAAAGTTGATCTTTATATTTGATCTAGTCATCCTTATGTAGTCTTTTCTCCTCTGTTCCCAATACCCCCCATCTCTGAGGACCCCTGAGTGAGTTTTCTCCAATGTGTCGATGAGCCACATTTAGTAGGTATTTCAGAGCACCTCTTTTTGCTACTGCAACTGCATGACAAGTGACAAGAACAGACTCACCTGCTTGCGCTCCTAACAAGCTGGCAGTAATGATTATGTTGACAAAAGTACATAAGTATCTTCAAACTTCTATATGTAGTAGTCTAAAATCATTATATACAATCATTAAACTGGACTAAATTACTTTTTGAAAGTCCTCAGTCACCTGTCAGCTAATGCTCAACGTTTAATTGCTATCATTTTGAGTCTGACCTGCTTGTCTGAGCCACATATTTCTCCAGTGTTGTACTGTATATTAAATATCAGCACATTTGACTTTACATGAAAATTAAGTCATTGCATGGACTATTTATGTTTGCATGCACTGCAACTTCACCTACCAACATCTGTCTAGCTCTCTGAAAGGCCTTAAATTAATAGTTCATCCAAAAATGAAAATTTGCTCAAGCTTAGGCCATTCAAAATGTAATTAGCTTGTTTCTTCATCTGCAAAAATGATCTAACTCTGTTCTGATGAAAAAACAAACTCATCTACACCTTGGATGGCCTGAGCTTGAGTAAATTTTAAGCGAGTTTTCATTTTTGGGTGAATTATTCCTTTCAGCAAAATATTACTTTAAATAATAATTCTGCATTTATGCTTATGCCTTTAAGCAGGTCTTTCATTCGCAGGCTTTTATTTACTTGCTCATGTACATATGAACAATTGAATGGACTATTTTGCATGAGTTCTGCTGGATCTGTTTTGCATGCTCTGTTGTCCTTGTGGTATCAGGGTTACAGTTATGTTCTTGCGCAATGGGAGTGGCTATAGGACAGTCCAATAATATTCTCTCTTTGTCTCTTTTTCTGTTGCAGGTGTGGTGCGAAAGCAACGAAGAGGAGGAGGAGGAGGAAGAGGAAAGTGAGGATTTAAAGGGTAGTATTGCGTTCTGTTTGCAGGTTGAGCACACAGGAACTCGTACATACTACTTCAGTGCAGACAGCCAGAAAGAGCAGGAGGAGTGGATCCAAGCCATGAGTGAGGCTGCCAGGGTCCACATCCCAGCTACATCCAGGTACACACACATCTATAATCCACATAAATTCACACACAATCCACTCTTGCATCTAAAACCAGCGTGACAAAAAAACTGTTTTAATTCACTCTGAAATGAAAATTCTGTCATCATTTACTCACCTTATTGTTGTTCCGAACTGCATGATTCTTTCTTCTAGAAAAGAAGAAGAAAAAAAGCAGATTCAAATATATAGATTTATACTTTAGATAGCAAATGCTTTATTCTTTGTTGTATTCTTATTTTGGCCTCTTCAAAAGTTGTTAAAAAATTTCACTAAAAAGGAAGCCAACACTGTAACCAACAGGACGTATTGTACCAGTAACTTGCTGTGTAAAGTCTTTGTGCACTGGGAATCTTCTTTTCTTAACCATCTGGCATTGTTCATTTGGGAGTCACACTTGTTTTGTTCACGGTCAAAAGTGTTACATTACAGACACCTGAAATGTAATTTTTTTTTATTTTCAGTAAAATCAATGTCATATATTTTTGTTCAATAATATGTTTTCTTATATATTTTGTCTTTTGAGAGAATTGCATGGTACTAAATAATATGTATGCAATAATTTTGATAAATTTTTCCCATTGAAATTAATACAATATATTTTTTCAAAAATTCTCTATTACTTTTCAATTATGGCAGTAATTCATGTTAAAATAGAGACAATGCCTTTAAAATCCAGTTTTTGAAATCAGATTAGTATCATCTGGTTAAAAAAAAAGAAAAGTATTAAAGAAAAGTTACTTTTTCTAGTAAAAAAAGAAAAACTTCTGCAATGTCATGGTTTAGCCACTAGATTCCTATATAGCTCTGTATAAAAGGGTTTTGTTTTTAGACAATTTTTTTTTCTGAACACAGAATTTTTTTTTATTACATATAACATCCAAGTTAAAAAAGAATGTAACACAAATAAACAGGAATGCTTTATCAGAGATTAATCAATCTGATTTCAACCTCTTATTTGAGTAGAGGCTCTGGCTCAATATTGCCATATTGTTACAGCCACACCAGTTCATTTGTGTGTGTATAATAGTGTGTTTTGTGTGCGTGTCTGTAAGTGTGTGTTTGAGTGTGTTTTGTACTCCTTGTTGTTTTAGAGTGTAACCCCTTCCTTGGTGTCTGTGTTTTTACTGCATTGTGGCTGAATTATTGATTTGATTTCACACATTTGCAGAAACATGTTTTGTATTACAGTCACACTAGTTCATATATGTGTGTCTGTGGGGGGAGGGGGTGGGTCAAGTGTGTCTGTTTTGCACTCTTGATATTTTGGAGTGTCACCTGTTCATTGCTGTGCACTGTTTTTCTGCATCATACATGATTTGTAGATTGTACACACAAAAAAATCTCTGTATTTTTCGTATTTTTGCGTATTTCCCATTCATTTCCAATGGTGGTCAATTTTGACCGTGAACAACACAAGTGTGACTATTTTTTTAAGACCATTTAGCTTTTTCGAATCAAGTCCACGTTTTTTTTTTTTTGTAGTCACATAGTGAATGCCATAAAAGTTACAGAGTTTCGTACAATTCCAATGAAGTAGCGATTTTTTTAATTTTGAAAAAAAAAACATTTCCGGTCTAAAATGACCGAACAACACCAGATAAAGACCAGGCAATGCCAATTTTACATTTACTACACAGTGAATACGACAATAATAATATGACCACATAGTGGCCAACTGAATATAGCGTAGCATAGTTTGAAGTTGCTCACTCACGTGCATCCATGTTTTTTCTGTGTGTCTGCACTCAGGCACCATGTTTTCAGCGCTGTTAAAACAAAAGTCCCGTTTACAACTTATCGGCCAGACAACAAAACCTATTGGCCAATGCCAAGAATTAAAAATATTCCAAATTGAAAGGTGGCAAATGAGTCATAATGACTACTTCCTTGAAATTCTTTTAATGCTTTTATGGACCTTCATTCAGTACAAATAGTAGTTCTTCAGAAATTCCACTTTTGTGTTGTACAGTAGAAAAAAAAATGTCATGGTTTTGGACAACATCTTAAAAGTGTGATTCTTGTGGAGTCAGAGCAGCATATTTCAAACAGCCAAAGACAGATCTGATGAAAATTTATGCAGAGCAACAACTAAAATAGCACAGATGGAACACAGGCGCATACCATTAAGGCTGCTACCCTGATACTCTGGAACAAACAGTCCTGTGCTCTCCTTATAAAAAACATTTCATCAAACAGATCAAAGGCATTGCACTGTTTATGATAGTGTTTTATATATGTTTTGTCTGTCTCTTTCCTGCTGTTCTGCAGAAATAAATCTGATCCCATCCCTGCAGCAGATGAAAACGACATGGTAGCCAAACGTCTTGAGCCCAGCTCTCATGCAGAGAACGGCCAGAGGCCAGATGTCCACGAGCCTGTCAAACACGAGCTTAACGGTGTAGAAACCAGAGACACCACGCCCAGCACCCCAGTGACCCCAGTTACCCCTAATATAGGGGGCAAGATGGGGGAGAAAGGAGTCCTGGCACCCCATCACCCCAACGGCTGGGGTAGCTATGGTCCTCCCAACGGTTCAAGATACCAGTCCCAAGAGAATGTGAGGGACATGCGCGAGCCGCATGAGGAGAATGTGGTGATGCGGAGAGGCTTTGTGCCCAGGACGGCACCGGAGAGACTCGCCCAGAGGAAGACCTCCATGACGCAGCTGCAGCAGTGGGTCAACCAGCGGCGGGCCATGGTGCCTCAAGACGACGGCCGCAGGTGAGGTCTAGGTCTGCTTTCATAACCTCTTCCTTTTCTTATCAGCAGGGTTACTTATTATAGTTTAGTTTTTATTTTATTTCTTTATTTTGGTTTCCTTTTCACTCTGTGAATGTTAGTTTAAGTTTAGTTTTAATATTTTCAGTGGTTTTTAGTTTCAGTTTCGGTTTTTATTTTAGTTTTAGTTTCATTACAGTATTTTAGTACTTAGTTAATGTGTTAAACTAAACTAAATAAAACAGGTACAATTACTAAACTTAATTAGTAATTTAATTTGATCATTAATTTCTCTGCAGTATAGTTTTAATGCAAGTGGGCTGCAAAAACTAAAACTAAAATTTATAGTCATTTTTATTTTAAGTCTTTTTGGAGTTCTACAAATGTATTTATTTTACTTTCTTTTTTTTTCCAGTAATGTAAAGGTCAGTAAGATTTTTTTGTTTGTTTATTTAAATTAATGCTTTTATTCAGCAAGGAAGCATTAAATTGATCAAAGTGGCAGTAAAGAGTTTTATAACGTTACAAAAGATTTCTGCACAACTGTTTTCAACATTGATACGAAGAAGAAATATTTCTTAAGCATCAAATCAGCATATTAGAATGATTTCTGATTAATCATGTGGCACTGAAGACTGGAGTAATGGCTGCTGAAACTTCAGCATTGTCGTCGCAGAATTAAATTCTATTTTAAAATATATTCAAATAGAAAACAGTTATTTGAAACTGTAATAATATTTCACAATATTTCTGTTTTTGCTATATATTTGATCAAATAAATGCAGCCTTGGTGAGCCTAAGATACTTCCTTCAAAAGCATAAAAACTTACTGACCCCAAACTTTTGAATGGTAGTGTATTTTTATTGACATTTTTATTTCATTTTCTGTTAATGATAATTCCACTGCTTTTTAGTCCATCCAGGTACTACACAGTAAACCGAGCTATGTCAGCAGACTATTACGGTGTGTATAACGGCCCTCCATATGTAGATGACTATCCCCTCTACCCACCTGGTGTGCGACCTGAGAGCATCTGCTCCATGTCGGCTGCATACAACCGACCGCCTCCTCGCTGGACCATGGAAGAGAGAAGGCGGTCATTGCGAGATGGACCCTTATATGGTCAACCTCGAGACCCTCAGTGGATGATGGGACCCCAGGGTCCTGCCTATTACCCCCAGTTGGACTCAGCGCAGAACTCTATGAGACGGCTTTCTATACAGCCCCGCTCGCGGTCGGCCCCTCGTTCACCCTCCTCTTCATCGGGAGGACCCTACTCTCCACACAGCTTCGCCTCACCTGCCCGATCGCCCAGTGTCAGGTTTGATCGGGGACCTGGCCGACTCAGAGAGGAGGGAATATATGCGGACCCCTCAGTCTACGGGCTCCGCAGGTCACTGAGCTCACCTAAGGTAAAGCATCTGTCAAACAACTAAGTATCCATAACCAGAGCATCTCATTTGAATGATTATTTCCAGATTATTTCAGATTTTGATTGCATAAACTTTGTTTTTCAGTCATAACGTGAGTTTGCCATTAAATTACTTATGAGATTTACAAATTATTCTGCCTTAGGACTGACCACTTAACCAGAGCATTTCATTTGAATGATTATTTCCAGATTATTTCAGATTTTAATTGCTATATTTTTCTTAAACTTTGTTTCTCATGCATGCTTATGACATTTACAATAATGTAATATAATTGATGATTGATATAGGAATAGTATTCTATTCTGTTATATTCTATTCTATTATATTATAAAAGAAAAACAAGATATATATATATAGTTTAGTATGATTGATATAGGAATATTATATTATATTATATTACATTATATTATAAAAGAAAAACAAGGGGGAAAATATATATGTATAATTGTATAATATATACATATGTACACTGAACAAAATTATAAACGCATCACTTTTGTTTTTGCCCCCATTTTTCATGAGCTGAACTCAAAGATCTAAGAATTTTCTATGTACACAAAAGGCCTATTTCTCTCAAATATTGTTCACAAATCTGTCTAAATCTGTGTTAGTGAGCACTTCTCCTTTGCTGAGATAATCCATAGTATATAATATAATTGATACAGGAATATTATATTATATTATAACAGAAAAACAAGGGTAATATATATATATATATATATTCTGGCAGATCTTGCCTTTCTTGTGTCTAACTTTAAATTACTATAATTGTTTGTGGTTTAGTATGATTGATATAGGAATATTATATTATATTATTTATATTATATTATATATTGCCTTCTTTGTGTCTGACTTTAAATTACTATAATTGTTCGTGTTCTAGTATGATTTCCCTGGAGATAGACGCTCCTACAGCCAAGGAATGAACCACTACAACTACCCAGCATCCCCTTCGCTCCATAGTAAAATGGTAAGTCAACACTTTAAAGTATTTGTGAATGTGTTTAGCATGAAACACACCATTTGAAGCCTTATCAATAGAGAACCAGCAAATCATGCAATCATGTGACTGATAATTTGTATGTGCAAAAGATCAAGTGCACTAGCCTGGCTATTGAATGATGGAGACTGTGTAATTATCTGCTGTTATGAGTGTGATGCTCTGCGCTTTGCTGTGATTAGCGATGCCGTGATCAGCATGTGTCTGTCCTCACCTGTGTCTCGGTCTCCGTCTCTCCATCCGATGCTTTTGCGTGCTGTATGCTGCTGCTGGGTTTGACACACTGGTCTTTGCTGCTGCCTCACTGCACACATCAGGAGGACATTTTAGATGTGCAGCTTCAGAGGAACCTGGAGTACCTAGATCAGCAGGTAGGAGATTCAATGCTGACAGCACACATTAGCTCTCATCCGAAACCTAGTGAGCTACTCAACTAAGTGATATGAAAAGAATATTAATTATGATTAAATCTCGAAAATGTAGATTATTAATGAAATTCCATTTTAGTTAGGATGCTGCTTTAGAAAGCAGGCAGTAGACAGAGGCAGCTCACTAAGTTTTCGAACAGAGCTTTTGATTGTTGGCTTCACTTTAAAGAGATGATAGAGAACAGACTTACCGTTGTTTGGTTGCCCACTTCAAGACATAAACAACCATGTCATTAATGTAGTCATGGTCCTCTCAAACATTTTTCCTGTTCTCACTGTCTTCTCCTCTGTGTGTCAGTTCTCACACTGATTTGAAAGGGTTTTCTAATTTTATAACAGCTGCATGTTAACAGCAGTGGCTGCTATATATGGCTTCTTCGTAGTTGTCACATGGGGAAGTTGTCACGAGGGGTTATATCCCAGGAACTGTAACATAAATATGTTTTCTGTAGCAGTGTTTTTTTATATGTTGGTTTTGAAATCGTGATCAAAAAGTTTTAATTTATAATGCTTTTTGTCAGTTCTGGGCAAATTGTCACATTTTAAATATTTTTGAAATTATTAATTAATTTCAGTAATTCTCTGTGTTACCAGTTTTGCTGATTTATGAATTGTTTATTGTTTCATATTTTTACTGATTATATTTTTCTGATATGCCTGTTAAAGGATATTTGATGGCAGCCCTAGTGAAAAATAAATATATTTAAATGTATTTGAAATACATTTATGTTATGCTAAGTATACTACAAATACATTTACATATTTATGTGCTTAATAAAAAAAAAACCCTGCAATTGTACTTTTAGTATACTAAACTGGTATAGGCTACTTTACCAGTCTGCTAAATTGAAACCACTAATTTTGTACTTAATGCACTTTAATTGTACGGAAGTAGTGTTGAAGTCCAACTAAAGATATGCTGAAGTATATTTGATTATGCTAAAGTGGAACTATTGCAAGTATACTTCAGGTACATTTTAAGTATCTTAGATTTAAAGGCAGATATTATTCAAAGATCATGCAATCCTCATCAATAGAGACATTAAAACACATTTTAGGCTTATGAAGAAATAAATAAAGTAAAAAGTTTAATTAAACTTTTTTTATATCAGTAAGTCTCAGGCGATATTTCAGTGGATAGATTTGAACTATACTTAGTTTGAAATAAATGTATTTTAAATATATTACTTTTTTTTACTAGGGGGAAACCAAAAGATTTCTATTTCAAATAAATGCTGTTATTTTGAACTTCCTTAGACCAAAGAATCTGAGAAAAAGTCAATCTAAAGTAAATTTACACAAAATAGGAAGCTGCACAACTGTTTTAAACATTGATCATTGGAAATAATTCGATATTTAACTTTTTTTTTTTTGATGGATCATGTGACTGAAGACTGGAGTAATGGCTGCTGAAAATTCAGAAAATCCATCACAGGAAAAAATGTATTTAAAAAAATATTAAAATATAAAACAGTTATTTTAAATTGTAATGACATTTCACAATATTACTGTTTTTACTGTATTTTTCATCAAATACAGGTAATTGCAGCCTTGGTGAGACTTGTTTCAGAAACATTAAAAAATCTTTACCGCACTAAACTTTTTAGCGGTAGTGTAATGACTTTCAAAAATAAAAAGTTAAAAAGTGTGAGAAAGTGTGAAAACTTGCCCCGGTGTGGACATTGCAAGTATAGATTCCATCAACGTCGGCCATACTCAAGGTCAGGCATATAGCCAGGTGAATGATGGTGTGTTTTGCCCTAGATGACAGATGGTGATCACCTAATCGGCATGGTAACCAGAATGGTTGAGCGTTCCTCTCCTCGAGCAAATCTATTCTCACAAGTAAGAGAGTCTAGACTCCTCTAGAGAGGCAGGCTGCTGTTCTACCTGCTATTCCTGCGCTACTGAACCTCAGTTCAGCCTCTTTCTGGCAAAGTTAGGCTCAGACAAGGCTGTTCTGAGGTTGTGACGGAGCCTGCCTCTCTCTGTGCTTCCTGGTCGATGTGGCATGTTGGATGTTTTGATAGTGCTTCAGGTTTAAGTGAACTTAGCTTTAGTTTTAAAGCCTTAACCTTTAAGTTCAGCTATGAGAGCGACAATGTTCAGTTTCTCTTTGGTTTTAAGATTTTTTTGCTTTATTTGTGTATCTGAATCCCGCCATTTCCAGTGCTCGTTTGCTCGATATCACATCCTTTATTGTGTGGTCATTGTGTGTCTTGCTGTTGTCCTCTGTGTACAGTATGTGTCTTATCCACTCACGCCATCAAGCAAGAAAGCCATTTTCAGTGTATAGCCTTCACATGGTGGGGCTTATCATTGACACAGCATTTGGGATGGTTTTTGTTGCTGAATAATGCAAACGGCACCTTGCAATGGCTAATATCTATTTACGGTATTTATTTATTTAAAACGTTTTTGTATTTATTTATTTTAATTTTGAGCAAATAAATTAATAACAATTGTAATTTTTATTAGTATCATTGTTTATTGTTTATTATACTATTATTTTAAATTTTTTTTTTTACTTTTGTCCGAAATCAAATTCAAAAAAGAAAAAGACTCACTTTCACTAATATTTCCGTTTTATCCATTCTCTATGATTATAGGTGCCTCCATTCCATGACGTGTACGGTGATCTACATCCCACACTGAAGCTTAATGAGATTGAGACCAGTGTAAGTCACTTTGTCTGATCAAAGACATCCATAAATGTACAACTTTATAAATGATTGTCATTCACATAACAGACCCATGAACAATTCATTTTGTCTCTGTACAGAAACTACTGGGCCGCTTGTGTGAGCAGAATCGACTTGTGAAAGAGCAGGAGGCTGTAGTTCATCGTTTGCGAATGGAAAAGGTACATTTGTTGCTTTTAAGAGTTCTCTAAAAAAAATGGTTCCTGGCTCAACATCAAATATAATATGAAATACTATTATAATATACTTTATTATAATATTAACAGAAATAATGCATTATTCATTTAATATTTAACATTACATGATCAATTTATGCCTACAAATACTGCCCTTACTCACTTGACTGTTTTCTGTAATATCCAGGACAGTCTAGAGGGGGTGCTGGTGGCCACACATCAGGAGATGGAGCTGTACAGGAGCCAGCCGCTGGCCATGGAGAAACTTCAGCTGAAGAAGGAGAGTCTACAAAACAAGCTGATTAACATCAGAGGAGAGCTGTCTCAGGCCTCCAGTGTAAGAAACCAGACAATTTTACACTGTTATGAAAACACAATCTAAGCTAGTGAAATTGATTTTAATAAATGGTGTTATTTCATGAATTGTTAATTGTACTTCACAGGCCCTGACCACCACCCGTATGGAGTTCGAAGCACTAGAGGATGAAGTAAACAGCATCCATGGTGACCTGTGGGAACAGCTGAACGCTGGAGGGCAGGTATGATACTGACTTCACATTTGTCATCATCATCATTAGTTACCAGGAAACCTTGAACTCTGAAACTACAAGCCCTTAATGACTTCTGCCATCTTTCCATTTAGACAAATCATTTATTCATGAGCACATGCAATTATGCGTTTGCATCATGCGAATGACCTCCATTGCTTTCAGCACTGTCATGATCATTCTACATGATTGATTTACCTTGAAGGCATTACTGTAGTAAAAAGGTGACCTTGATGATACAGAATTAATTTGAATATTAAATTAAGATCCATAGCAATTATCTATTTAATGCAACAAGAAGTCCTCTGAATGGAAATGAATTATGCAATCAGTAATTGAACGGCATGTGATTCTCTCATTAATTATTAATAAGAATGAATATGCTTTAATGTAATGATCCTGACAGAGCTTCAATAATGCATGTGTCTTTTCTGTTTGAATGAATCGCTTTCCTTCCAGAGTGAGCTGGTGCACAGGCACATTCAGAAGGAGTTCTGGAGGGTTCAGGATGTTTTGGAGGGGCTGCACAAGAACAACCCGTCTCGTGGCACGGACACGGCCAAGCACAGAGGTCAGATGATCTGTTACTGCGCAGCGTCATGCATTATCTCTGTTTATTTGGGCACTTAGCAATGTGGTCCTGCAGAGCAGAAGAACAACTTCTTTCTGACCAGTTTCTGGTTATGACATTTTTTAAATGCATGTTATTGATCTTATTGTGAGTGATTCTTCCATGCAGGCATATGTTTCATTTGTAAAATTGGCTTGTAATTTTTAATTTTTAATCATAACCGGATCATCCGGTGAAACGACATTGTTTTATGACATATGCTTCTCTTAAATGACTTTTCCAGTCATTTAGACTACATAAATCCTGTCCCATTCTTGCAATCAACTGCAAGCTCACATTAAGATTTGCCCTCGGATTGTCCTGTATTTTCTATGTATAGAGCTGCAGTTCTCTTACGTAGAAGAATGTTGTGAGAAGAACATTGTTTGCCTGCTGTTGCAGTTATGCTGCTGCAACGCTTTCATGCCGTGCGTGAGATGTGAAACAGGCTTAGTAATTGGGAAACAGAGAAGCAGTGTCATTTGTTTTATAATTTGATTACTTTTTTGTTGGAATACAATTGCAGCAAAGTAGAGCATATTACAGGGAAGAATATTAGGTTACTTTTGACGTCGTGACATAGGTCCTTAACTCTATAATCTGTCTCTGTCCCCAGTAGCCAGTGGAGCATCCGGCTCTTTCAGCACAAACAGTCCTGCGAGTCCCTTGAGTTCAGTGAGTCTGACGAGTCCTCTCAGCCCCTTCTCTCCTGTCCCTGGCTCTCAGGCCTCTCCCACTAAACAGCTGGCCACAGAGGTATTTCACACAGCATTATTCTTCAATGAAAGACTGTCTTACTCGTTACAGTGTACAGAATACAATACAGCAGCATATACTGTACCAGATCATTTCATTTAAATGCATTAGGGGATATCAAATTGTTCTGCTTCTCCTAATTAAATCAAGTCTGATCATAGGACTCGCTACTTTCGTTTATCCTGAATTGTTCCTGATTCAAAATAAATTAGATTTGCTGTACTATGCTCATTTAAAGAAACCTCTAACCGTAGTCTACTGCCATTGAGTTGTGGTGATAATTTCAAAAGACTTTTGTTTTGTTAAGATGCCATAGTAGAGTGCAACAGTTATGGAAGTAAAAATCCTATTCATTTTCTCCATAGGGAATACATATTGAATTCCGAGTTCCGAGGATGTTAATTGATGTTATATGCATTTAAATCATCAGCCTGCATTAATTCAACTTATTTTGTAAATAATCATGTTTAACAGTGGAATTCCTGGTGAAATACTACATTGCCCATGATTCTGCAGAGAAATTGTCATGAATTGGAGAATCGCAAAAAAATAAACTGCAGCCTAAGCATCCGCACACTCCCATAAATCACTGCAAATTGTATAATAATGGGAGTCAGTCTCCCTACACTCTCAAACTATTTAAATATTTGTATGCATAATTTATATATATTGAAATAAATGTTAAATATGCTGTTTAATTAGAATATTTAAATCAATAGTTTTATATATTTTCATAATTTTCAGTTTGATTATATCCTTCACAATGCTTCATAGGACTGTAGTTCTTTCCCTCATGAAGGCTGTTAAGTAGACAGTCTTGCACCTTTGTCTTTTGTCTGATTTTCAATTTATTTTCCCCTTCAAATCAAAGTTTGTAATCTTTTGATTCACCTTGTAGCTGTTTGGTTTGTTTCATGGCTTATAACTCCTAAACAAACACTTTTTAAAAATCCCTATGGACAAAATTAATTAGACAAATGCTGGCTGCTGTTGCACTCTGTTGGCTTGTTAGCATAAGATAAAGCACAATAAGCTTAATCAGGAGTTGAATAAATCTAACTGCAATGATGATTAAATGACCTGAAATGGGATTCAAAGATTATTTCTGTGTCTAATACCTGTTTTCTGCCTGAATTATTCTGTTTTTTTGTTGTTGTTGTTACTTAGTTGTAGTCACTCTTGGTTGTGCGTGTTTGTTAGTAATCATAGGTGACCCACTCCCACAGTGACACACTACCAAAATATACCCAGAGTTTTACGCCGTTTCTGGTTTCTAGCACATGCTGTTTATTTAAAAGAATCAGCTCCTGACTGAACTGCACATTTCCAGAATTTCCGTATTAAAACTGATGGCCAAAGCCTTTTAAACCAGCTCACAGTTGCCTTTGCTAGCAGAAATTTGCCAAAACCGCAAAGTACATGTGTGGGTCGTGTGCAGCTCAGTGTTTATTAGTGGTTGTGGTGAGGGATCCATGTCTATATGCTTCCCATGATTCTCTCCGCCCTCCACCTGGCTTAGTCGCTCTTGATGCACAGCTCTCTCTCCGCTTCTCCATCCCTTCTCTTCTCTCCTTCTCCCTGCCCTTCTTTCTTTCCCTATCCATATATTTTACTCTCTCTTCCCAACTTCCTGTTCCTATTTTCCCTTCGACAGGAGGTTGGTCCTCCACGACCTCCACTTCCTAAATCTTACCATCCCCTGGAGTCCTCCCAGTCCTTTCCCCCCTCTGTTCCTCCCCTACCCTTAGACAGCAATGCCTGGCTGCGCAGCATGGGCCCCCATTCAGGCATCCATCAGGAAGGCTACAAGGACGACGAAGAATTCCGCAGCAGAAAGGTACCTCAGAGAGGCGGCCGCACTACGAGAACAAGGAATTGTACTTCTACTTTGTCCATTTTCACGCCATGATCATTTTTACAATGTCAACAACATCTTTCTTTCACCTGGACTTATTAACTTCATTACTTCCCTTTCTTTCCATTTCACTATTTCACTTCATGTTTGCTGTTACATATTTATGATTTTGTCATATATTACTTTATCTCAAACTAAACGCCATCATAATATAACATCTGTTGTAAGATCTAGCAAATATTGGTATAAATCAATCAGATAGAGTAGCTTGTCTTCCAACAGCTCTCATTTTCCCCTCCAACGTGTGTGTGTGGTAGACAGATCAAGTTTCTTCATATACACACTTGTGTAGTTGCCCCATTTCTGTCCTTAGTACCTGTTTTATTTGCGCTTGCTTTTGTCTGTGCTAGTGTTGCATTTATTCAAGCTGGTGACAGCACGCTGTGATGTGTAAAAATGCTTCCATTGCTTTTATTTATAGTCATGTTTGCCTCAACAACCTCATGCATTTACAGGCTGTGATTCATCACGCTGTTGAGCAACCTGTAGAAGCCCCCACTGTGCCCCATGCTGACTGTTTTTTTTTTTTTTTTTAATGGTTTCCTCATTGAAAAATGTAGGTATTGGATTGCTAAAGGCATTTAATATACGGTAAATAAATAATAATATGAAACCAATGAGAATGGAATCAGATTAAAAGGATCTGTTAAGAATCAAATAAGATTCATATAGACTTTTTTTTTTATCCTGTCAGAGTGGGATGGCTGGTTTTAATTACAACAGAAATTCCATTAGCAATCCTGTACATTCATTTAGGATATTTTTACTAGGGTTTACATTTGCTATGTTCTGTTCCAGCACAACTACAACTCACAAGGAGAAAAGATCAACGACTTTGATGCAGAATCCAACCAGAATAAAGGTATGAAGAAAAAAGGGCTCACATTTTTCTTGACCTTTCCTGAATATATGAAGTTAATTATATTATGGAATATTATGCTTATAGTATGGACAACTGAAAAACTCAGAACTCAGAAAACTCGATTTTATTGCCTTCCAATGGCGCCGGTCTAAAAAACTTAGTTTATAATTGACTTTTTCCTTGCAGTTGGAATTGTTCCACCCAGGACCAAGTTGCCTTCACAAGACAAGAACAATTCTGATGGCGTCCAACGAAGAAATGGGAAGGTGTCCAATGGTCACATTTCCAGAGTAAGTTAAATCTGTGCTAGTAAATTGTTTATGTTTCTAATAGTAGTTCCACATTTATAAGAAAATATGAAGAACTATAAAATATAACCAGTTCCATTAGTTTCAATCAATATAAATTAGTAACAGATTCAAATTATGGGTTCAGATTCAGTATGTATAGGACTAGGTGGCATTATAGGTAATCTTTTATGATTGCAGCATGTAATGGTGTTGTATGTGTGTCCCAGGAGAGGCCAAAGAGTGCGGTGTTCCCCGCAGAGGTAAAGTCTAAAATGAGTGTGGAGGAACAGAATGAGAGGATACGAAGAAACCAGAGCAGCTCCGTCAGAGACAAGAGGCGCAGCCTCAACCTCTCAAGCAATCAGAACATTGATGGCTACAAATCTTCTGCTAACTACAGAGTGGTTAGTGGCATACTGTTAAACATCTTTTTTTCTCTCTGTACTGGAAGAGTGACTTGTTATTGTAAGGCTGGCTGGTTATTAGTGCACCTAATTATTACCAGTAGCTCATGGTTTTGAGACACAACAGGCAAAACACTAGGAAAACCACTTAGATTTTGTGCTTGACATTCTGTGCCATGAGATTTTGTGCTATTTTTGCTTGCTAGTGGAAAGAAAACATCCAGAATACACACTTATGTGTTTATTTTTTACACTTTATTTTCTTCTGTAGATTTGAATTAGATATTTCATATTACAGTAAATAACATATATAATGTAATATATATAATGTATAACATATATAACATTAACTTGTCAACAAAATGAAACAGGAATTTTGACCCTGGCTTTATCCAGGTACAATAGTCTTAGCATGCTATGCTAAACTTTTACCAATTTACCTGTTGTGTCTTGCCTTAATTCTTATCCCTACTATTTATAAGGGTCAGATCATTAAGGCACTTAACTTTTCACAGGGAAAAAAAATCTAATAAAAGTCCAATAAAAAAATGTAAACTTGAAATTTGCTTGAAAAGTAGCAAGACAGCAGAATATATTATTGATATATTCTAAATATTATAATAATGTATACATTTATTGGGTGCCATAAAGTATATGCTTAAAACAAGAAAAAACTATTTCTCGATGGTGTAAGACAAATGAAAAATATTCTATGAAACCATTTTGCAGTGTATTAAAAGTCACGCCAAGCATTGAGCCAGTTGTTCTTCCTGATATCCAGGTGCGGAGGAGAGTAACAGCTGATGAGGTGGATATTAAGGATCTTGAGGCGGCCGTGAGGGGAGAAGGTGTGGAGTCACCCAGGCAGGAAATTGCTCGTCTGCGACGACAGGTGGAACCGGAACACTATGACCTGGATCTCAACAAAGAGGTTAGAAGTCACTGCACATTGCACAATGAACAACCGTTTTTGTTGTACATTGTCCAGTTGTTTAATAATGGCTGATGTGAAAGATATGCAAGGACATATGTGTAATTGTTTCTCTAGTTGTCCATGCCGGATAAAGTCCTGATCCCTGAGCGATACTTGGACATTGAGCCCAGTACACCACTCAGCCCAGAAGAGCTGCGGGAGAAACAGAAGAAAGTTGAAAGAATCAAGACACTGATTGCCAAATCAAAGTATGATGCACATCATGCCCTCATCCACTGCACACTGAGTACCCTTTATTTTGTTTTTGTTCTGTCCATCCAAACCCTTTGTTGTTATGCCATAAACCATACCATACTTGCTGAACAACTTAGGGACTGTCAAACTTCTAAAATTAGGTCAAGCTGTCAAAATACAAGTATAAGAAAACACCATAAAAGTCCAAAAGTTTACATTTGTGTTCTTTGGAAAACAGGTTACAGGTTTGGTTTGGAACAACATTGAGTAAACCTGGGCAGAATTTCCTCTGAAATCAGTACTTGAAAAGATGACTTTAATTACATCTGAGGATATATATCTTTTTTATTGAATATTTATATCCTGTCTGTCTTTCTCCAGCCTGCAAAATGTGGTGCCGGTGTTGGACGGGCCAGTGGAGGGAACCAGTAACCCAGAGCAGCAGCTTCAGGAGCAGGAGAAACGCATCGAGATTTCTTGTGCTCTGGCTGCCGAGGCCTCCCGCCATAGCCGGCTGCTCTCCGGTGAGGAAGCCTGCCGCCCTGAGGAGCCTGGGCGAGCTGTGACCCCACCTGTCTGACCCTCATGCCCTTTCAATGTCACATGCTCCTCAATGTCCTCAATGCACACTTCACCACACTTCAGTGCTGAGGTTGCACTTTAATTAGAGTTGTTTTTTGACTTAAGTTGAATTGTTAGATTTGTTATTTTGCAGAAGAAAATGATAATATGAATGATTATATGAATTATTTTTATTATCACAATCTGTTTCAGAATTCACAACACATTTATAAAGCTTTTAGATAACATCTAGATGTGTGACCTCGGTACTGAAGCACACTGTCTAGTTCCATCTAGATTCACTGGGGAACTGCTCTAGAGTGAGATTTTACTCAGTTTAATGACTATGAATATATTCAGGTTTGTTATCATCACTAAACATCAGAACATATATAAATTGACAAAGGCAGAGAGGACAAACATCAGTATAAATAGAGAGATTTTAAAAAATACAGTATATATATATTTTTATTCATCATGCCTTTGATCTCAGTTTCTTGATTAAGATTTATGGACAACCAAAATGCAAAAAAAAAAAAAAATGTAATTTTAAAATCATGCATTGGACTTTGCTTCATAGTTTTCTTTCATTTCATTCCATATTTTTGATAGTCAAAAATTCAATTAGCAAGGATTCATTTTGCCTTGTGGCTATGTGAGAGGACAGTATATATAGCTACCTCTCTGTCCCACAATTCCTATTTCATTTGCTTCATGGCATATGTTTTCTTTTGACATTTCCCCCC